CTAAACCTTGCTGCATCTCATGGCTGGCTTGGGGCTGCCCACAGTTTTCAGTTGGCCGGTTCACTGCTGTGTTTTGTAGTAACATAGATTTGTCCTTCCTGGAACAATAAAAATCTCTGAATTCAGGGGAGAGTGGGAGAGATTGTTCCCGCTGCCACTGCCTGGCTGGACAGTAGGCCCTTGTTGCCTGGGGAGGGGGCAGCTTCCTTCCCAGGGCTGTGCTCCAGCAGTCCGGGAGCCTGGGAGCGAACCTGCAGTGTGGTTTTGTTCTGTGATGTCCCAGCTATCGTGTGGAGGAGCCGCCCGGCTTGGCAGAGCTGCAGAAGAACGAGTGGGATCCCGTTGTTGCCTGGGCTGAGAAAAGGTAAGAGGTCAAGGACATTTTTGGGTGGTTATGCCCTGCCCAGCTTATGACTCTCAGAACTGCAAGGTCCGCCAGCTCTGTGCTTTTCTAAGGGGCTGGGTGATCGTTCTAGGTACAACGTGGAAATTGGCTCCTCGACGAGCATCCTGGGGCCAAACATCCCAGCCAGCACCAAGGAGACCTTTGTCAGCCACCTGGCGTCCTACAACATGTGGGCCCTGCAAGGTGAGAGGGGCTGAGCTGGGGAACCTTCCGCTTGGGCTCTGCCGGGGAGGAGGCAGTTCCTCTCCACAGAGGAGAAAAGCGACTGTAATGTTTCTCCTCTCCTGCTGAGATATTCAAAGAGTTGAGGTTTATGTTTTAAATCTCCGAGCTCATCCCTTAGATGCCAAGGGTGGGGACTCACCCTTCAGTACCACTGGTGTTCAGGGGCTGACTGAGCTCTGCCCTAGCACAAATAACTTCTTTCATGCCAAAACTTCCAGTGACTTAGTCCCCAGCTTTGTTACCAGGAAAAGAAACACGGTTTAGTACTCTTCAGTGCCCATGGTTCTGTGTACTCTTCTCACTGTTTCACCATTATATCTCACTTGATCTTACCTGATGCTGTTGAATGACAACTAAAGATAATGAAGTAACGTTTCCTCAAGTGCAAAACTTGAATGAGCAGCACACAGTGAAACCCACAGAAAAAGACACCAGCGTTGCAGCTAAGGGAAGTTGATCACGTTGATTTCCGGGACAGGACTTGCAACACCTTTCTGTTACCCCTTGTAAAGCTCTTTCTTGATGAATCATTTCTTTTCCTCACAGTTTGTAATACAGGTAGGCAGAGTAGAAGGGAAAGGCATGTGCCTCTGGGCAGCTGGTTGACTTTTAACGTGAAATTCAAGGTCTGGCCTCTGGTGGTAGCCCAAGTTGAGACTGACTTCAGTTCCTTCTTTAGACCCTGTCCATGTGCGGGCACCTTCATTTCCTATCGGCTGGAACTGAACTGTGAGTGCTCAGCAGCTCAGTGTTCTGAGCTCTCCTCCTCCTGGCTGTGTCTGTGGGATTTGCTGAGGTCCCTCAGCTGTCAGGGACTCACTCGCTCTCCTCCCCTCAGGAGGGGGGTGTCTTGCAAGCCCGTAGCTGGTGGTGTGGCAGGTGTGTTTTATCAGCCGAGCTCAGCAGCTGTGTCCTTTGCCCACCCAGTTCTCCCAGCACACCACACACATCTGCACGGGATTTTTCTAGGAGAGGTTGTAGAGGTGGACAGCTCTTTTAGCATCAAACAGTATCCGAGTCAGTCTCAGGCTGGTCTTTCAGCTGAGCTCCACAATACTCAGGCCTGGATGGGTAATCTCTTCCCTTTGCGCAGGGAGGGTTTGTGGCAGAATAAAAGGAGGCAGTTTCCAAGGCACAGCCTTTGTCACTGTGGTGACAGCGACCAGAACAGCTCTTTGTGTCCACTGTTAACTGCAGATCTGAGGCTTAAGTGCCCAGATGCAAGTGAGGGGAGGATCACTGGCCCTGTGACCTCCCTGAGGGAGGTACCACACCTTGGCTGTCTCTTCAGAGCGTGTGAAGATGCTGCTGTAATGCTGCAGAAAAAAAACCCAAACACCCAGAAACACAAATATGAATCTTGTTTGGTTTGTGTTATTCCCTTCCAGGTATAGAATATGTAGTCACCCAGCTGAAATCTCTGATTCTGTCCATGGGTCTGATTGACAGGCACATTACAGTAGAGAAAGCTGTGCTTCTGTCTCGCCTGGAGGAAGAATACCAGGTAAATTATGGTACAAAACAGCCCTATAATTCAAATAGCAATAATCTCAGCATGACAAATGCATCTCCCACCACAAATAACTGGCAAGGGAAAAGCCTGCTACTGCAGGAGAGGTTCCACTCTGCCACTCTTCCTGTTTGAGAGGGTTTGGAGTGTGCTGCTGCTGAGCAACACCATGGGCACAACAGCCCAGAATGCTCTCAGGGCTGCCAGTTTCTTTTTGTAGAACCCAGATGGCTGCTTTTCTCCCTCTTTAATCTGAAGTGCGAAGTCGTGGCTGGCTTCACTTGCTGTTGGTTATCCAACTTGGAGGCCTTGGTAGACACCAGGCTAATAACTTGCTTGCTGGAAAGTGGCCCGGTATGAAGCTCTCCCTGACTCAAAAGTGGCTGAAGTTGATGGGAATCTTTTCATCCTCGCCTTAAGGGGCTTTTGCCTCAGACTGCAGTACAGATGAAGCATGTGTTTCCACCAGATTCATCTGGAGATCTCCCTGCCCCTGTAGGCAGTGATCAGTACAGCTCCTGGGGGATTACCCATGTTTCACAAACATGAAAAGGGAGGCTGAGAGTTGCTGAGCAGCTCTACGTATAATCCTGCTCTGAACTGATTGGCATTCCTCCTCTCCTTCAGATCCAACGGTGGGGCAACGTGGAGTGGGCCCACGACTACGATCTGTGCGAGCTGCGGGCTCGCGCGGCAGCTGGGACTCTCTTTGTTCACCTCTGTTCAGAGAGCTCGACTGTAAAACACAAGCTCTTGCAGGACTGAGGCGGTGGGGCCGGGCGCAGGAGGAAAACGCCCGACTGGGAGTTGCTGGCATGAGCCAGCGGATGGTGACCGCTCCCCTGCCACCACGTCCGTCCTGGGACCAGCCTAGTACTGAGGAGCTGCGACTTTGTGAGCAACTGCTTGCTTGGACTGCGTACCGCAGTGCAGCGCCAGCAGTTTGGAGCCCACAAGGAGGAAAGGTCAAGGTGAGCTTCCTCTGCATCCCCAAGACAGCAGCTCTGTCTGTTAGCGGTGTCTGTAACTCATCCGAAGAGCTGCCACAAAAGAAAGAGCTTCCCGGGCAGGGCGCGGCACAGACATACCCAGCATATGCCACACGTCTTCATAGCTGCCAGCTCCTGACACACACTTGTTATGGAAATCTGAAAACAGACTCCATTGCATCTGTTCTTCATCCCTCAGTGTGCCTGTATGTAACACCAGGGTCTCTGTGTTTGATTAAAGGCACGCCCCTGCTAGATACCGAAAGCCATTGCTGCTGAGTATTTCTTTGTTTTAATCACCAAGCCGTGGCATAGGTCCGGAGCTGCCAGGCTCTAGGCAGGTGTTGGGGTGGCTGCAGGCAAAAACACCAACCCAAAACGTGGAGCAGAGCTGAGAAGATACCAACTACCAAACAGATCAGCTCCCTCTGCATCTCTGTGTGAGGCTCTCCATGTTGGGTGCCTGATCCTTGCAGCCAAGGAGTAGCAGGGAGCCGACTGCGCAGTCCTGGAGCAAGAGGGGGAAATCTTGGACTCCTGCCATCCTCAAAAGCAGGGGGTACTCTGAGCTAAATCTGCACGACAGGCAGCACCAGCCACAGCGCTTTCAGAGACCCAGTCTCTTCCCCAGAGTGTGTATGGAGCCACCTTCTCATTTAACCTTCCCACCTTTCTCCTTGCCGCTTGCCTCGAGCAGCAGCGTCCCAGCCAGCATCGTTCTTCAGAAGCTGCCCACAAGTGAGCGTAGCAGCTGCTGTCACTGAGCAAGGAGGGGAATTAATGACTCCTCGCTTGGCTGTCATGAGCGGCGATGTGTGAGCTCCCGTGGAACCATCGATTTCCCTTCCTGCTAGCTGGGGGCTGCTCTGTTCACGCTGCAGAAAGCTGCTTTTGCAAGAGGCGGTGAGAAGACAAGGCTCGCGGCACGCGGAGCCCCCACCAGCCTTGTGCTTGCTGAGGTGGAAACCTGCTGTTACCTTGGGGGTGGTTTGATGGAGAGCGCTCCTCTCCCGGTCCGGGGTGCTGCGGCACGCCGGGGGCTCGCGGGTTCCTGCCACTGTGCTTGCAGGTACCAAAGCTTTCAGGCATGATACGTTACGATGATTTTGTTCAATCGGCTCGTGGCTGATCCATAACCCCTCGTGCCCAGGTCTGAGCTCTGCCCGCACGAGCTTCATGCCACCATGATGGAAGATAGGGCTTTGTGTGCTTTTCCAGAGTCAATAAGTGCCTTTTATTTGGAGTTTACAGTGGGCTGGAAGAAGTATGCCTTTGGCCTGAAATGTCCCGGGCAGCTCAGGCACAGAGAGGCAGGCGGCCCCTGCTGCCAGGCCCTGTCCCACGTGCCCCCAGCTAAAGCAGCCACCCCACCCATGGCAGACCTACTCCACTGGCTCCAGGTTTTCTGTGTTTTCCAGCTCCTTCTGGAGAGTGTTGATGTAATGAGTGATCTCTTTGACACGGTCGCGGTTTCTGGCGATCTCATTTTGGGAAACCTGGACAGATTGAAACCAAGCAATGAATCTGCAGGCTTGCCCGGGGTCCCTGGAGCCCAGAAGGCTCCAGCAAAGGTTGGGGAACATCTTTCCTAGCAGTGTCCCTACCCCCAGGGGCAGATCTGTCTGTGCCCCGTCCCCCTGAGCGTGAGGGTCTCTTACCTTCTCTGTCATGGAGGCCTGCCACTGGTAGATGTTGGTGAGGATGTCGCTCTCTCGCTTATCAATCTTCTGCAGGCAGATGCTGTGGGACGTGTTGACTGCGTTGACAATGGTGTTTTTGTCCACAAGAAGCTAGGAGGTAACGTGACCGGATGAGAGGAGGGGAGCGGGCGGGCAGCGAAAGCAGCGGAGCTCAGAACTCGCAGCACAGTAACCGAAGCGCTCAGGGGAAGAAAATCACCCTTCTCTTTCAGACAAAGCCCTACTCATCAGGAGGGAATCCAGTGCTTTACCCTTCGCAAGGGGCCTCGCTATGGTGTAACATCCCGAGTGCAGGCGGGGAAACTGAGGCAGCACCCTCATGGCAAGGAGCAAGCGCCTGCTGCTGAGGGCTGTGCCGCGGACAGGGCTGCCTCGCAGCACGTGGCGGCCCCGGCGGGCAGCTGGTGTTGAAGCAAGGCTGCATATGCTCCAGCACGCCTGGCCCAGCAGGTGCGGGAAGTGGAAAATTGCACTTGGAAGGGTCCCTTGCACTGGTGGCACTGGCTGTAAATCTTCATTTTTTGGAGAGTCCCAGCTTCTAATCGAAGCAGTGACTTCCCCCGTGGCTCTAAACAGAGGGTGGCTTCACTAAACCGTAATGACTTTCCTCCCGCGGCCAAGTGCAGCTGCTGAACGAATGAAGATTGCTTCTCCGCAGAAATGGATGGCAGCGAGGCAAAATGGGCACGCCGCAACGGTGCGGAACTGCAGCCATCTGCACAGGCCATAAAGCAGGGAGCTCCCCGGGGGGGCTCAGGGGTCTGTTTTGTGTCTGTCAGCTCTGGATAACCTGGAGTAATGGGGGCCTGGGATAATCTGGACAGAGCGAAACCACGGCGAACGCAAAACTTGAGTCATTTAGCCACTAAATGAAGGAATAACGGAGGCAGAAATGTCAGCGGCGTTGCTGACTGGCGCGCTGCAATGATCTTTGTGCTTTCTGAAAGGCTGCCGGGATCTCTGCTACCACAGCGAGACCAAGGGCGCGGTGGAAGGCTCCCTTTGAAATGTCATGTCCTGCCTCCAGATCAGCTCATGAGCCAGGGAGCTTCTAGGGAGGGTTTTCTGAAACCACGGTGGCAAACAGCCCCGGTGCGAGGAAGCCAAAGCAGTGTTCAGATTCTCATGGGACAGCAGAGAGAATCTGAACCAAACCAGCTGTGAGTGCAGCAAAGACACTGCCTGAGTGCCTGCTGGGTTGAGGCTGTCTGGAAATCAGCCAGAGAATGAGTTGTGCTGGAGGCAGGAGAAGAGGCTTCCTCAGCACCTCTCCCGGGCTGCAGCCACCAGCTCTGGCAGCGCCCAGGGAAAGCTGCAGTGCAGTTTTCCTCTGTCCTAGTCAGCGGAGGTGTCCGGCAGCACTGCAGTTCAGCCAGACAGCTGGGGCCTCTAGAGAGGAGGTTATGCTCTGGTTTTACCATGACTTTATCGAGCCTCCTGGAAACCCAGTCCCTTCTGAGAAGAGGCTGTGACCTCCTCATCCCTAGCAGGGATGAATATTTTTGTGCCCTCACCGTTCTAACATCATCTGGCAAATCTTCGTCAAGGTCATTCTCAGCCAATTTCTCCAGCGCGGTGACGGAGATCTCTAGCAGCTTTGCATGGTGACGGTTTTCCAGGTCCCGGCACTGGGTCATCGTATGGAAGACAGTTAAGGAAAAAGCTGACCACACCACTCTTATAGAGATTAAGTGACCTCCTGTCACTAGAGACCGAGCGTCCACATGGTGGGTCTTTGCAGGAAAGAGTCTTGCTGCTGCCAGAAGCTGCTGTGGTCTCAGGATATACACTTTCTGCTCTTAATCACATATTAGGTCTCACCCTTGCTGTCAAATACTAACACAGAACCAAGAGTGGGCCTAGGTTTGCAAAAGAAATTGAAGGAGACCTCGCAGGATATAAGCTGAACTCTGAATATGGTGCAGTTATTTGCACCAGGCCAACAGATTTCTATATTGAATGAAGCGTTACCTGTCACTTGGCTCTTCTCATCTCACTTTGTTCCAGAAGACATCGAGAACACAAAAATGACTTCAACAGGAATGTCGTTGGCTGCTACGGCAAGAATGTACGTAGAAAACAGTCTAACCAGCTCTTGCCAGGGTTGTGTCATGGCTTGTGGAGAACAAAGGAGGTTTCTCAAGGAGGAGAAAGCTGCGTAAGTCCTACAGACTTTCGGTACAGAACTTAGGTCTTTTTGTGTTCTCCAGAGTCTCCCCAGAAAGAAGCTGGGTGCTTTACATGACTGTTCCTGTGAAGCTGGGAAAAGATCTTTTCTGTTAATAACAAAATATAAGAATCAAATTCTTTACTCATGGCTTATTTCTGGATTTAGAGGTGAGACATACATACAGCAGGGGCAGCTCCAGGCCAACATACTGCCAAAAGGATATATCCCTTTGATATTTTCAGTAAATGTTGATGCTATGACTCCAATGTTTCTTTTAAAATTCTCTATTCGTTCCTTTAACAAAGGGGAAAAAGAGGAAGTATTACAATGAAAACTTGCATAAACATAAAAAGGAGTCAGGGAGTCCAGGCAGAATCTACAACTGATTATAATTTGGACTCACTGCTGTTATTAGCATAGTCACAAACTGCATTGCCTCAAGCATTTAAAGTGTTTTGAAAGCACTGCAAGATTTTCTTTGCTCATTGCGAGACAGAAAATCAGAATCAGTTTATTTGAGGCAAGCTGACTGAACGATATCTTCACCTGGTGTCTGGAGCAAGCCAACTGATCCTTTTTTTTACTCTGACCTATGCTGACGGCACGGAGACTGCTGTATTCCTGCAGATTGCCATGCTGTAACCTCCTCGGATGCACAAAAACCCTCCTGTCGGAACCATGACGAATGCCTGGGCTTACTGCGGCTTTTGGTTTAGCCTTTGGAAATTAAAATTGCTGCTGCCTATTACCTCTCTCAAAAATGGCTGATGGAGAATCTGTGAAGTGGTGCCCTTAAGTGTCTTGACACAACAGTTCAAATACAGTCACCCAAAGAGAGAAATGCTTCTGCATTTCACCCGGGGAGAAATGCTTCTGCTCATTCCATCAATGACTGCAGATACGTGAGGACCAATTCAGAAAACACTACAAGGCACAATTCCGATGCAGTGAGGAATCCATTTTGAGCTGCTGCTTTCACAAAAGTAAACTGCTGCATCTGCTCGCACAGGCCGCAGCTCCTGGCTGCTAATTTGAAAACAGATTACTTAAAAAAAAATAAATAAGAAAGAAATGAAGATGCACATTAGCAGCCCTGCCCTAGTTTTTGAGGAAAAGTCTGGGGAGAAAAAAGGCTTCTATTATGCAAGAAAATGCAGTAAGCTGAGCAGGAACGTGTGTAATCTTATTCATAGCAAGGATCAGCTTCAAAGAATTACACCTCTGGAATCCCAAATGCATAGCCCATGCTATGCAGCGACTTCTCTAGGCAGACCTCTAAAACGACTGAATGACCTCAAGTCTCTTTCTCTAAAGTCTAGGAAATCAGCTTGGATAGATGTGAAGGACATAAGTGCACTCAGCTCTGAGAAACAGAAATCTGTTGCAATGGTTCAATGTCTGCGGCCTGATCTCACCCAGATCAACTCTGAGCAGGGAAAGAATATGACGGAGAAGAAACACTAGCCTGCCTGGAAGACCCGTGCCCCCCTCTTTGTGCAGCGGGCTGCTGAACAGAGGGGATGGCAACAGAAAAAAAATGACCCCCCCCAGCATTCTGGATGTGAGGTCTCAGGAGTGTGTGCTTGCCCCTTACCTCCAGCTGGTCAGCTATCAGGATTTCCAAGGTCATGAGTGCTTCTGACAGCTGAAGTATGTCCTCCCTGCACTCGGCTCGTTTAGACTCAGCAATATCATCACCACTGGCATTATCAATCTCATCCAGCCTCTAAACCCAGAGATACATAAATTACTTATAGTTTGTGTTCAGCACTCCATCGCAATTTAATTAAACTTGTTACATATGTGAGGAAAGTTCCTGCTGCTGATTAGCTGAAATGAAATGTGATGATTCAGGAAGCCTCCAGATTTACATACTGGGTAGTCAACAGTGCTGAGGTCTGCTACTGCACTAACGATCCAGGGGCAGTGCGGTGGAATCGGAGAAAACGCTTCCTCATCTTCCAGTCAGCAGAAGACTTTGCCCCTTCTATGCTTCCAACTTTGGTTCCCCTTCTGACACGGTTCGAGTAAAAAAAAAATTTAAAAATTAGATTTTTGACGTTGCTGGCTATGAAGAACAGATTAACAATTACTTTGCAGAGGGAAATTCAGGCCTAAATCCTGATCCCCTTCATGTCAAGGAGAATCTTGATTGACCTCTGCAGGGTCAGGATTTAGAATTCTGAATATGGAATACCTACCATTGCCTGCCTTCCTCTTACAGCAAGGATTTATTGCCCTTCAGAATTAAATATTGACGTCAGTTTTGTATCAGACAAGATTTATGATTTCTCGGATCAGAAAAAATCCTCTTGTGCTGAGCAAGGTGTTATTTTCAAGTCTGTTTAAAATAAGTTAACAATCAAACATGAACAGGAGTAAAAAAATCTCTGTGGTTTAAAGATGTCTAATCCACTTCTCCTGAGAGGGACTGGAACAGGCTAAAATAGCGAATTCTGAGGAAAATCGTTGCCAAGACTAGATTACCCAAATTTGCAGCATCAAAAGGGGGGAAGAGGAGAGCGAGATATCTTCTTTTCCAACGTAAACAAGTTAGGAGGCTCAAAAAGTTCCCCGGCCATTGGAGCTGCACCTCTGGGAGCAGTAACTTCAAAGTTTAAGGCCTTTATGCTTCTTTGCTCCTAAACCAACTTCAGAGAGCGGAGTTATTTTTACAGGTTAGCCAAGCTTACGTGAAAGGATTACAGCGAGACAAACAGCGCCTTACAGATTTCAGTTTGCTGGAACCTCTGCACCTTTTGCATTCCTCAGGCAATTCTAAGTGCATGGGGAAATGCTGTTAAAATACGGTGTTTGGTTTTGTCACCTCTCCTCCAGTATTTGCAAGAAAACCATTAGGTTGACCACAGTGTCCTGCTCTTGCAGCTCAATCTGTAGCTGAGCCTGAAGATCACAGAATTACAGAATAGAATCATGGAATGATTTGGGTCAGAAGGAACCTAAAAGATCATCTAGTTCCAACCCCCCTGCCGTGGCGGGGACATCACCGACTAGATCAGGTTGCTCAGTGCTTCATTCAGCCTGGCCTTGAGCAATTCCAGGGATTATCAGGCAAAGAGGAAGGGCCAAAATCTGGCCTCAACCTTGTTTCTTTGGGTTTTGATTCTATATTGGTTTTTTTTTTGTTGGTTGGTTTTCATAGTTTTGTGGTTTTTTTAAATGGAAGGTATAGTGGGAATTCAAGCTCAGGTTAACCAAATATGCACCTCAAGCTTTCTGTGTTAACTTCTGGTAAAGCTGCAAACTCAGGTCCCGATGAGAGCTGAGTTTGCCAGCCATGAGTCAGCAAGGTTCAAGGACCTGGGCGCAGAGTGACTCAGCCAGCTGTCAGCTGGTGACGAGGCACCTCAATAAAAGTGACCCGGTTTTCAAAGGCAGCCAGCGCTCGTGACTCTGCCTGCTGTCAGTTGTCAGGGCCCTGCTCTGCTCAGCTGACGCTCTGACCAGGCTTCACCCCTCCCCTTATTTTTTCTGTGGAAACAGAATAATGATCCAGCTATTATACGTGGTCAGAAAGGGATCCATCCAGCTAGAAGCTACGTCCTTTGCAGCCACAATGGGTGGCAACAGAATGAAAAAAGATAGTTCCTGCTTTAAAAGGACTAGAAACACATTACAGTAACTCTAGCTATTTTTTTTTGGTGTGTTGAAGTTCTTTGAGCTGTTGTCGACAAAATGAACTGAAGCAGAAAATTACTTGAAAACGAACCGAATGCTCTGCAATCCCCTCCCTTCCCCATTTTTCAGTGAAGGAAGAGATATTGGAGGCCTCAAAGAGAAGGGAAGTGGCAATAAATCTGATTTTTTTTTTTTTAAATCAACTGCATCAAAAATATTTAAACAAAAAGTTGAGCATTTCCCCTTTTCTTAAAGACAGGTAACTTTTCTGGATGGAGGAAAAAAAAAGTAAAAAAAAGCCCCACCATGTTTAGCCACTTTTTTTCTGTAATGCCTTGAAGGACCTTTTAACTTTGTGGGCAATAAGATAACACTATGACATGTTAATTTACTTTACTTACTGAATATTTTACATGTTAAAGCCCTCAGTGGCTGTCTGAACATGGTCCTGGGCAGCCTGCTGTGGGTGGTGCTGTTTGAGCAGGAGGAGTTGGGCCAGATGACTCACAGACATCCCTTCCACCCTCAACCACTTTGTGATTCTGCTACTAGGGATCACGTACCAACTGCTATTACAACAGTGTAAATCCAGAACCATTATCCTAATTTTAATGGAGTTATCCTCGTTCTCAGTGAAACTGAAAGCTGGCATAGGATGTAGAGAAATCCCGTATCAAACAAACAAAAGTATAACAACATTACCCTTTTGTTCCGACTTTCAAAGTCTAGGATTAGTTTCCTGCCTTCTTGCTCGTTGGCTGTTAATGCTTCCTGAAGGCTTTTGTGGAAATCAGAGACTTCAGCTTCTCGTTTTTCATGCTCTTTCAGGCCGTAGTTAAACAGGTTCTTACAAACTGAGACAAATTCCTCCCTGTACGTGACACCAGAGTCAAGGCATTTTGCTTGTTCAGTGAGGCAACATGCTATGTTCTTTCTACAAATTCGTTGCAAATTTGAGCAACAAGAGCTACAAGCCACTGTGATGTGAACTCCGTGGTTCTTGCTGAGAGCAGGCTCTCGAGTATCCTGGGTCACCCATTCACATTTTCTGTACATATATATATATAAAAATTATACTACCTTAAAGGTTACATAAAGGGGAAAGCTGTGGCAACTTGAAGGGGAAAAAGGCCTTGAGGCAAAAAAAAAGGAAATACATATACTTCTCTGACTCTTTTCTGACACAGCAGTGGAATGAAGCATAAAACCCTATCTGTCTTCACAAGTGTGAATATAGTGTGTGTGTAGTTAATAAATACAGCTCTGGAGCCTACAGCCAGAGCACAGAATAAACTACTGACTTGGTAGCATCACAAAAATAACGTCAATTTTTCTCCTGCTATTATCTTGGCAATGGAATTGTTTCTAGAGCCTCTTTTAGTTAAGCCATGATGCATTTTTCCCCAGCAGTGTAATGCAATTTTAAGGAAGGTCAACTTACTGGCCTTGACAACGCTCTATTAATCTGAATGAGAAAAAAAAAAAGAAACGAAAAAAAGTGTCTGCTTTCTGATCCCCTGCCTAGGAGCAATGATCAGAAAAAAGTGCTGGCCTGAAAACTTCATGTTGCCAGCTCTGGCAGGTTGTGAGATATGCGCCTCATATCATTCTGATTAGTCTGTTCCTATCTCCTAACACTTCAATTTCAACATGATTTTAGCGACTGTGCTCTTGCAATCTAACCGACAGAGATTTATCTTATAGCTCATTTTAAACTTTAAGTGGATTCCAGACTTAAAGAAAGTACAAAGCCTTTGGTTCTTGAAGGGTCAGAAAAGAAGGCTACCGAAATTGTGTTTGATTCAAGCGAAGGACAAGGAATACGGTAATTACAACGGTGAGAATTTAAAATGCTGGAATCTCACAACCTGTTGGTGATAGAAACGAGTGGTTTTATAAACGGGGTGTTTCAAGTCGCGTTGGCCTGCTTGCCAGTAATATGAACCCTTTGTTTGTAGCTCTCACGTTTCAGCAGATACCAAGCCTTAAAGCTGTCGGTGGTCTCACAGGCTTGCAGTGGGTTTTTTTGGTACCATTCCAAAATTGAACACAGACCGTCTCAGCCCTTAGATCAATGTAGCTTTCAGCCCCAGACAAAAGCAACGGATGAAGAGTCCCTGTGGATGCACCTCCTCCTCCACTCAAGGCCTTACGTTTTAGCTGTAGGTACTCTAAACCCAGGAAGGATATGCCTCCAGCAGCTCACCCGCTCCAGGGAGGGACGCCAGCCTGGCAGCTTCTGCATCATCTGCATACACACTGTCGAACAGGAGCGAGCCATTCAGGTACTCGACAAAGGCTGCCTTTGAAGAGAATCAGAGCAATGTAAGGAAAATAAAGAATGCCAGCCTGCCACCAATCTTCTGTATCTGTCTCTCCTACAAGCACTTTACCCCCAGACACAGTGATACCAGCACAACAGACAAACCAAAAGCTCCCTGCAACTGGAGTGAACCCCATCCGGGTTCACACCTGGCTTTGCTGCTAGAACTCTCCAGCCTAAGGACAGAGAACATTGTTTAATCTCATATAAAAGGATATCACATACAACCACGTACTGCAACGCTATCAAGCCTTTCAGATAAGGAGTCAGTGGACTTGTGGGAGGGGCAGAGGGAAGAGTTGCAGGTGTCATCCCTGACACTTAAGCGCCTCCTGCTCTTTGGTCAGTCTGATCTTCTAGAGGTCTGGAATACAGAGCCAGACCATAACTGAAAGCCCCATTCTGCCTGGGCTTGTTTTCAGTCTGTTCACAAGACTTACAGTGATCTCTTGAAAGCCCTGAAGAGTTTAACCATAAAACTAAGCACGGACTTAGTGTGAAGGAGAAGAAAAAGCCACTGCACCATGAAAATGCTAACACTGACCTGAGACCTGTAATTCTCTTAATCTCACATCAGGCTGGTAAGATCCTTGGGTATGATTCACTACTTAGCTTTGCAGGGTCTATATCTGTAGTTTCATTGTTCAGCCAAGAGAATGATGTTCCCCTACATCATGTGTATTCTGCCCCAGTTCCTATTTTCAATCAAAAGATGAGATCCAGAGATCACAGGGATTAATCCTAGCCTTAGTTTTAGCACAGTCGATGTTAACCGCTCATTAAATCTTCAAGCAGGTAAAAGAGAAGTCAATATGTGTTGCCCTTCTTCCTCCCAAGACAATATACAACCAGACAGAGAAAACATACCTTATGGTACTCCAGCTCTTTCTGCTTTGCTTGGTTTTCTTCCAACTGAGCCAGGGCTTGAGCCTCTTCATGTTCCAACAGCTCAATGCGATCTCGACACTGTAAAACTGCAGCTTCTCGCTGAGAAATGCAAGCAAAGGAAATATCTTTTATTAGATTATCCAGCATTGCTCAACAAATCTGGCCATAAGCATTTGATCTTTCTAGAACGTGTACCTGAGTGACACCTGTATCTCAATGTCTTGGTGGGCTTTTTATTAAGCTACATATGAAGTTTCTAACCCATTCCTCATCCCAATTTTTGTTGGCATGTTACTCGGACTCTGCATTCAGCGTGTGCGAGCTGATACAGTCTGAGGAAACTGTCCTCTCCCCATTTCCTCATCTTTAGGGTTGTTTTTTTTCTTTTTTAGCAGAAGGCCCCGTTTTGACTTGTAGAATTTGAGCTCTGATTTGATCAGCTAGCGAGTTTAATACATTTATTAAGGGGGAGCAAGCTCTTCAGAGGAGTGGATTGCAAGGTAGCAGCAGGGGCAAGAACCTAATTAGCTTAAAACTGAGCTTGACAAATTTAAGTACGCAGCTCTATGATGTATTATCTGTAGGAGCAGGGACTGGACTCAATGACCTGGAAAGCCCTTCCAGTCCTATGGTAAGATTAATGTATATTCCAAGTACAGCTCCTGCTCTGTGCCAAACAAATTTACCATTAATCATGTTCTTTGGTTACTAAAAAAAAAAACAAAACCAAAAACAACAAACCACAGAAAAGCCCACCCCTTCTTTGTTCCTTCGAGCCCTGGGATTGAAAAGCAGTCCCAGGGGTTACCAGTTCGGATGCACTGTCCTGTTCTCAAAAATCAGGAGTGGGGCTCACCTGAATAGTGTCAGTTCGCTACGGAAACAAACCGCTCAGCGAGCAGCAGGACAACCAAGCCGCCCTCCCCCCACATTCGCATCTCGGGACTCATCTCCTCCAAGATTTTCTGATCTCTGAGAAGGCATGCACTCACACTGCTGCCTCTCTGTAGCAACCAGGCCCCTCTCCCACACATAGCTGCCGATTTTCACAGAATCTGTGAAGACATCGTGCCTCTGACACCTCTGCCTCTCTGTCAGATTTGATAGAATTTGGCCTACGGGTTCACAGCTGTTAGGTGGAAGCAGAATAAACACTGCGTATTCCTGTAAGCCTCATTTCTGCAGGGAACCTGCCCTGAATGCTAGAATTTTGCTGGCATACCAACAAAGCAAATGCTCTGGAAGGTGCTGGTGCCCGATTTCACAAGCAGAGACTGCAGAAATGCTTACCGTGGTGTCACTCACAAGCTTGAAGTCCAAATACACCAGGTCTGGAAGATATCCAACAACAAACAGCATATACCGCTCCTCGTCGCAGAGAGGGTTCCCCGTGAGATTCAGCGTGCGTAAGTTTTTAAACCTCCTGAGATAGATCACCTACGCCGAGGGGAAAGAGATGATGCTGTACTTCCCAGTTCTGGGGAAACACACAGCCCTGAATTTTTTTTGCTTTTATTACAATTATGTGGCGATAATCTTGCTCTGCTGCCAAACACAGGTGGCACTAAATTATGAGTTTCTAATGGTTTCAGGAAAGGAAATACTTAATGTCACATTGTGAATATATAAACAGTGGGTGTAGAGAGAAGGTGGATGGCGTGGACAAATCAGGGATCGAAGATTGGTAAACTGCCCTCCAAAGAACCCCCCAAAAATCCTTGTCTTCGCTTCCTCCTTTTCTCATATGTAGCTACTTATTCCTTTCATGGGAACCAATAGGAATTTTGCCGTGGCTGACAGCAGTAACAGAACCAGGCCCCCATGAGTCAATAATCTAAAAGAGAAAAAGCTGTAGTAAGCACTTAACACTGGAACAGCTTACCAAAACCATAACTTAAGACTCCAGAGGAAGTGAAATCCTAAGGAGAATTTTGTCCTCTAAGAAGGGACTCGGACACAGTGGCAAATGTTGGTTTTAGAATATTTGATCCTTTGACAGGGAACATTCGCAAAGACAGGATAGACTCACGTCTTCCAGAGTGGTCAGGTTATTCTTTCCTATGGAGAAAATCTGCAGCTCTTGCAATGTGTCCATGTTCTCAATTTTAGATATTCTGTTATTGTAGAGACTGAGGTCCTGCAGTTTGACAAGGGTATCCAGGCCCTCGATTACTTCAATATTGTTGAAGGACAAGTCTGGGGAAGAGTTTAGAAACCAAGAGTTTTACAAACGAGAATTAAATTGACCAAAACACCCTGATTCAGACCTTGCATTTAGCCTGGTTCCCGATTTGGGAGTTTATGTGCAGTGTTTTCCTCGGGGATGCTCAGTGTCCCACAGGAAAGGCTCAGCATTAAATCATCATTCTCTGGGTCAGGAAGGGATGTGCACATCTCCTCCCTGCAACTGCCCATGCAGCTTTTAAGCAAGAGGAGCAGCTGAAGGCATTCCATGCAGAGTCCGCTTACACAACCTGCATATGATTTCTACCTTAAGGCAAAGCCCAAAATACAAGAAACGGGTTGGGGAAATGCCCTAGAAGGGGGGTATTTCTCTGACAAACCTGACACTTCCTGCCTTGCTTCGTTGCAGACTCTTGCCTGCCACACCAGTGCTCACCTTATGGTCATTCCCCTAACGACAAACATTCGCCAGTCCCATGCTCACAACCGCCCTGTTGTCAATGGAGACATGCGAAGGCACATACTCATTTCAGCTATTTTGCTCGTTGATATTTCCTCGTATCCTGCCAGAATATCTATCCTGACACCTACATTCATTATGACTAAGGGCAGCGTTTGCCCTCAGGCCGGTACCAAGCGATTCAGGAGTCCAAAGCTGTTTGATGAGGTCACGAGCTGTCTGCATCACCCCAGGCCCCTGATGGTTAAGACACTCATACAGCAGCTAAAACTGCAGCCTTTGGGCAAATGAAACCAAGGAGTGTACTTATGGCCTCAAGTTGCGTCATGGCCTCAAGTTGCGTCAGGCTAAGTTGAGATTGGATATTCGGAGGAAGTTCTTTACTGAACGAGTGGTGAGGCACTGGAACAGGCTGCCCAGGGAGGTGGTGGAGTCACCAACCCTGGAGGTGTTTAAAAAAAAAGTAGATCTAGCACTTGAGGCTGTGGTGTAGTGGTTAGATATGCTGGGATGAAGGTTGGACTAGATGATCTTCAGAGGTCCCTTCCAACCCCGAACATTCTGTGACTCTGTGACTCTGTGATACTTCCAAACACCTTCTGTTCTGTGTGCTTGCGTTGTGGTGATGAGCTGTTGATTCACAAACGCATGAGGCATCTGCGCAGCAGAACAGTGCAGACAATTGGGCAGAAGAATTCATTAGACTTTTCGAGATGTGCTCACCAACTGAAGCCCTGCATGCTATTTCCAAAGGCAGCTGAGGATATATTTACACTGCCAGCCAGCACTGTGGCTGCAGTTGCCAGAGAATGCCCACAGCAATGCACATGTAGCAGTGAGCTCACCGATTTGCCCAGCATCAAATCCTGCACCACTGTGTGACGCTGTTATCAGCACCTTGAGTTTTCAGTTGAGTCACATAAGGCTGTAAGGATGGGTGCTTCTTGGGACAACGACGATGACGAGACCTGAAGCATGTAGGGTTAAAGATAGTGGGTTCTAGGCTCTGAAATGCTTGCGTTAGCTTTGAAAACAGTATACAGGCTTCTAAATCACAGAGGCGTTCCCATAAACGTTCCCGAAAATCACCCCCAAATACAAATCCAAAGCCTGGAAACAACCTTGAAATCTCAGCTTCCTGCTCCTGCCACGCCAAATGTATTAAAACCAGTTTCTAAACATTTGAAAGGCTGTTTTGCAGCTCTGATATTCAGGCATTTTGACATTTGACAGTAAAATGAGGAAACACACAGACATCTGACGGCCTTTCCTGGGAAAGCTCCTATCAGTCATGTTTGAGAAGGAAGGCGACATCGTGGCTTTGTCGCAGATTGCTTTGCACCTGGGGAGGCATCTGACCTCATATGCCCGTATCTTACCAAGCCATACAAGGTGAACCAGGCTCTCCAGAGCTTCTATCTTCTCAATGATGTTGTTGTCCAGCTGCAGTTTAGTCAGGCTCTCAAACTGCACCAGATTATCAATCCGCAGGATATCTAAAGCCACAGGGAAGAAAAAGAAAAGAAAATTGCTTTTCATGTGAGACAGCTTTCAGTTTAGCAGACACGCTCTCTTGCAGAAGGCGAACATGTCCAGTCTTACCTCCAAAATGATTTTCAGCAGATTATGGTAGCGTGTGATGCCTGCTCTGGAGAGCTGAGAGGTCCACTGGCTGGATGAGATTTCAATGAAACAGCCCAGTTAACCTCAGCGTCCTGCACCAGTGCACACAGCTCATCAGCGACGCCAACGAGTCGCTGAGGGATGCTGACTACGACCCTGCAGTCAAGAGTGGCTTTATGAATCCACTACTAGGAGGCCTTGACCTTCATTTTCCTTTCCAGCTCTGAGAGGGCATTTGGGATGACACTCTGCTTTTCTCCGCATTTGCAGGCTAGCGGTGGCCAGCTACTGCTTCTGTAAAATTACTCTCCTGCTCCTGGGATTCTCGTCACAGGAGAACAAGTTGGGATCTGCTCTTTCTGTAAAGGCTGCAGTTTAGAACTAATCAATATCCCTTCACTTAGCTTTTTCCAAAACCAGAATCACAAGGGCAGGTCATCGGGCACTACAGCAAAACATTAGGACCAAGGTGACAGAAAACGCAGAAGGTTCTGACTGCCAATTATCTTTTCGCCCCGCAGTGGCTTCCCAGAAGATTTTATTAGCTTCCCTGCTGCTGTCGTGTTTAGTGAGAGCAGAGCAAAGGCAGAAATGCACAAAATATTCACACAGTCCTATATTTTGTATTTGCAAACAAACACACGCAGGATCAGGTGACAGGGAGCCTGGAACTCAGCTAACACACACTTTATTTCCCTGGAGCACGCAATGAATAATCAAAACCAGATTTTTGCCCCTGAAATTACATACCGTCAAAATACTCAAATATCGAGCCAAATGTTCTTCCTTTCCATTTTTTGAATGCAAGCTTATGACTGGTTTGACAGTAAGAGGCAAGCTGTGATAATGCTACGGATGACCGGAGGAAGCCACCGAATTGGACTGTAATCACCATAATCTGCCAAATAGCTCTCACATAATCGCCAGCGATGGCGGAGCCTGCCCAGGGTTAGATTTGTCCGTGCACAGAAAGGCCCAACAGGCCTGTGGCCTGTAGGTGTCACCACAATATAAATGTTAAATAAGAATAGCGGTGACAATAATAGCGTGAGGTTAAGCTGCTTTCGAGTTACCCATCAGCAATAGCACTCAGCTCGCTCTAATGAAACCACTTCTTACAGGCGCGACTGAAAATGTGCATCCAGATGCTACTTTTCACATAACAAATCCAAGCTAATGGCGAGTGTTTAATTGCCAGTCAGCCACTTCATGCTTAATTCTATGGCCCCCTAACAAAAGAAGTATATATTCTGATACTCACTTCTAAAGCTAAGCTGGAGCTTCGTCACATCCTTAAAGTTAATACCTTCCCTTTCGACAATCTGTAGTATGTCCTCTGGACATTGCTCTTTAATGGCTTTCTCAAGCATTTCATCATCAACAGCGTTTGGTTCAATGCTGTCGTAAAACCGACTCATTTTTAGATAGTATCAACCTGAAAGGACAGAAAAGAAAAATAAATAAAATCACTGCCTGGCTACGATTTCCGACATTCATTGAACAGGCATGACAATTCCAAGGACTTAAGAACAGAGCTGAGCTTTAAGAAGATCTAATACCCCACAGCTGATATCAAAGACAGACTTGACTTTTATCACAAAGTCACTCATGCTACTCTAAGCACAGCCTTACAGCCCCAGCACTGTAAACTGGCCAGGCATAATCAGGTGCGAACTTCACACCATGTTTGAGTGTTTTCCATGGAGAATGCCAGAATTTGGCCAGAAAAATAGGTCAGGAAAGGAGATTCTGTGCAGCACCTATGAACAGCAGTGGTCCGTTGCACAGCAATCACCTGTTGCTGAAACCCATCTTCATGAAAAATGGCAATCTCAAAGCTCTGTGCACCATTTAACCGAGTTTTACGAGGTAAGTTTCTCCTTAGAGGCAAAGGAAAATTAACAACGGCAGGTCACTGAATTTTAAACACCAACATCATAATAAAAGGGAAAACAAATCTGAGGAAGGAGGAAAATTTATAGATTATGACGGCGATTTTCTGAAGAAGGCACTTAACGCAGATCCATAGTAAAGCCTGTCAGGTCCAGTGAGTGTATAGCGCTGCACACAAACACCTTCTCCTTGGGAAACAGATGACTCTGTCCACTAAAACTCTCTGTCCCGGCTTTGTCATTTAAATATCCCTAATGCTGCCCGGGAGGCAATAAGACTACTTGTCTTTCTAGAACTGTGCACAGTTAATCAATATGAAAGGCTTGAACTGTCAAGCTTTTGCTTGCATAAGATGCCTCTAATTATGGAAAACGGTTTTTTGCATGGGAGGACAGGAAGGATAAATGTCTGGGTTTAGAGAGTTCTCTCCTCATCATGGCTCTAAACTAACAACCCAAACCTCTCTGGGGCAGTGCTCAGGACAGTCAGAGGAGTCGCAGGTTCTGGGTTTTTTCATCTTTGACCTGCCAGCCTTCCCGCTTTGCCCATCGTCTCTTAAGTCCACGTCCGTTCCGCAGAGCTGACCACACCGCGAGGTCAGCACCTCACTGCACCCCGGCGAACAACAGCAAGAGAGGTGGGTCGGCCGCCCG